CACACTTAAAGGTCTCTCACGTAGGATTTGCCACATTATCATGGAATGCCATGGAACACTTCATTTTGGTCAAATTTCCCTTTAATTCAGATTGGCTTCTTGAGAAAGGAATCATATAGACTCTTGTTATGTAACTCAGTTCAGGGCTTTGAATACAAGCTCAAGGATTCATTAATTGATGATATAATTAATTGCATACTTTTACTCTTTCCTTATATTACATTCCTGACATACCAATGATTCAGAGATATTTTTTTTAATTTCCTAGCTTATAGATCTTGAAGTCTACAATTTTAGAGTGTGCTAATAGTTTGTGTGTGTTTTTTTTTCCCCTTTTGTTTCAGTCTGTTCCCAGTATTCTAGAGGAGTATTTGCCATCTTTGGACTTTATGATAAGAGGTCGGTACATACCTTGACCTCGTTCTGCAGCGCCTTACACATCTCTCTCATCACACCAAGTTTCCCTACAGAGGGGGAGAGTCAGTTTGTGCTACAGCTAAGGCCTTCCTTACGAGGAGCGCTCTTAAGCCTGCTGGATCACTATGAATGGAACTGTTTTGTCTTCCTGTACGACACAGACAGGGGTAAGTCACGATTCACATCTACATAAGTAAAGCTCTAATTTTCAACCTAAAATGACCTTGTTTCACTGTGTGAGCTAGCAAATACTTTGAACTCTAATATGGCTAAAATCAATAATTGGTCAATGTGTCTTATCAGTAGCTTTATGTTGACTTGGGGGTGAAATTTCTGATTAAACAAGCTTTAGATTTACAAGGTAACTCATAAGCAAACTACTCTGTTGCTTAGTTGAAATTAAGGTACATAATTCATTGAAAATTTCTGTGATGCTATTTCAGGTTCAATCATAAAATATATGTCTTTTACCTCAACTGCAAATGATTCAACATTTTGGAACATCTTAAAAGAGCAGCAGCGTTGAGCTGCAGAGCGTTGAGTTTAAAATACAGAACTTTGAAGGCTAGTAAGAATGTGAATAAAGATTTCATAGTAAAGCTTCTGCTTACTGGCAACTTTTCACTTTATCCTTAACTATGATTCCATAAATATTAATACGTGATACCATGCAACCTATGTGTTGGGAAAACAAGGTGAATAACTAACATTAAATTATTGACAATCCATATACTTTTGTACAATGTTTGATAGTCTTTGAGTTTTCAGTTGGAGACATAAGAAGTTCCCATTATATATATTTTTTCAATTCTGTTTTTTCTTTAGTGATCAGAATCATAGCAACATATCATATTTCAAGATAAACAAAAACCTATGAGATTTTGTCTTTAGTCCTTGTTCCTTAAAGTATAAAATTTATGAGAAAAGAAGCAGTTAAAATAAAAATTGAAGTAGGCAACATCTTCAGAATATCCTTGAATAGAACTCTGTAAAATGAGTAGAACAATGAAAATAAAAAGAATAAACAAGCAAAATAAATCTTTTGAAGATATAATTAGCTTCAAAAGTCCAAAGCATAATTTCCTATACTCAGAGATAAAAACTCATTAAATGAATTCATCTTTCTCATTAAAATTCACATATTTAATTAGATGAAAACAGTATACCATATAAGATGTCATACCAGTAGTGATCCTAGTTCATCACTTATATTGGCATTCTTGGTGAATTTTCTTTTCAGAACAAGCTCAGAAAATTTAATATCTTCAATGTATTTTCTGCATGGTTGCAGCATACTCTAATTCTCATTTAGAAATATGGACCCCATTCACATCTCATGATATCATTTTCCAATAACTAACAATCCAAAGCATCTTAGAGAATGCATTTCAGATTAGGGAAATGATCACTCAGCTCATTTTTAACTTTTGGGAAAAGTCCTTAAGCAAGAGGATGCTGAAAATTAAATCATAATGCAAATTAAAAAGCAATGATGAGATGCCACCACGTATCAGAATGTCCTAAATCCAAAGCGCTGACAACATCAAATGCTGATGAGGTTATACAGCAAAGAAAGCCCTCAGTGGAGGGGATGGGTCAACCACTTTGAAGCCCATTTGATGGTTTCTTACAAAACTAAGTATACTCATACCATATGATCCAGCAGCCACACTCCTCGGTAATAACCCACAGGAATTGAAAAACTTTTGTCCACACAAAAAAATGTCCATGGATATTTATAACAGCTTTATTTATATTTTCAAAAACTTGGAAGCAACCAAATGTCCTTTAGTAGGTGAGCAGATAATTATAAACTGTTGTACATCCAGACAATGCAATATTACTCAGAATGAAAAAGAAATAAGTGATCAAGCCATGAAATGTCACAGAGGAACCTTAAATGCATAGTATTAAGTGGAAACAGCCAATCTGAAAAGACTACATACTGTATGATTCCAACTAAAGATACAGTGTTCTGGAAATGGAAACTATGGAGACAGTTAAAAGACTAGTGTTTCCAAGTGTCCAAACACCTAGAATGTACAACACATTAAACCATGGACTTTGAGTAATGATAATGTGCTAATGTAGTTTACTGATTATAAGTTATGAGTGTCAAATGCAAAAACATAAATTAGACTTCAATAAAATTGATTCACAATGTTAAAAAAATTGAATAATGATGTCAGGAAGTATATACAGGGACATGAATGAGATAGTTCTTCCTGTGGTTCACTATGAAACAGCTCCGTTCACCACTTTGGGCAGAACATCTGTATTTTATGGCATTTCAGCCTCACAGAAATACCAGTGGGAACCTGTGTCTCACTTTTTTTCTGTGCCTGTGCGTAAACCAGTCTTTGGCAAAGAGAAAGTTATGGGCATTTATGCATCAGCCTTCCCAGAAAACAGAGAATAAAAGTGGTGCTTTGCTTTTGCACCAGATTATACTTTCTAGGATCCTCACTACTGTATACAAGTCAGATGCTCTTACATGGAGCCACCTCCATTACCTCTTACCATGGCATCGCTCTAGTATAAGCAGACATACTGCTTATTTTAAAAATCTTTCTCCTGTTAAACACCTGCCTGCAGAGGCTTAAATTCATTATGGTACAGACACAGTTGTTTATAATATGACACCTTGTGACCTTTAACCTACTTACTGTTTGGCACACAAGGCCTCCGTTTTCCTTTTCACACCCAGAATATAACCGCCCTGCTTCTGACTAGTTGACCCAAGTCACTGTCTAGAATTTTTAAGTTCTCTCCAATAGTTGCTTCAGGATGAATAACTAGTCCTTTGTATTGCCTTGTATCATAGTAACCCAGCCCACTTCCAAAACAGACAACTTTATTCCAAGTGGTAAGCGCATGAATGAAAAATGTCAGGAAAATGACTGTTTCTTGTTGTTCAGACGGCTCACTTTGCCGTGATACCACCACGCTTCCCAGAATTCTGGGTTTTAATCAGGCACTTGCCAAGGACAAGAGCAATTTTTTCCCTCTGAAATTGTTGTGAAATTTTAAACACTTAGAATCACAAGCCCAATTTATTTCTGTTAGATATTGTGTTTAAAATTAGGTATCACTATCACCATCTGAGGTATGAATTTTAGTTATGAACGTGGTTATCTTCTATCATAAATGTAGTTGGTTAATAGACATCCGTATTTTCACATCATGAAGCAAAAAAAGAACACACATCAACATTAGGACCAGATTTTTTTTTTAAATAATGCACAAAACCAAGTGTAAAGAAGTAAGATAGTATGGTACATTTTGGTACTTTTCTCTAATCCTCTACTCTTATCATGAACCACTTATCTCAATATTTTTCCTGTTAAAGGTAGCTGCCTTAATATGAGCCTAAATTTGTCCACAAACTTGAGTGGAACATGAATTTCTGATGCATCATAAGCCCTTATTTTGGAATAAGTTATTTCACTGATCCACTCAGTGAAATCTTAGTCCCTGTAGTGAATAATGCTCTCTTAAGATACAAGAGCTTCACTCTGTCATAACTTTCAAAGTGTGCTTTTATGTCAAATTACAGTTAATAAAGGAATGATATTTCATTTCTTCTGATCTGTTGTGTCCTAGTCTTGGTCTGCTCCTGGTGAGCTATGTGAACCTGCCCATATTTTTGTCCACATCTGTTGAGAGAGTGAGAGAGAAGGAGGAAGGGAGGGAGGGAGGGAGAGAAGGAGGGAGGGAGGGAGGGAGAATTGAGCTACATTGTCTTCAAGGCCATTTCAAACTATCTTTAAAGTTTCTTTATGTTTTGTATTGCAACTATTATATCCCTGTCCTGGAAATGGGAAGAGAGAGAGAGACAGGTGACGTAAGTGGTCTGTTTATCAGCAAGTGACTCCCTGCCTCTGTTCATTTGACCGCCTCTCAAAAAAGAAAAAAAGTGTTTCTTCATTTATTCATTCCATTTTTCCATTTAGCATTCAATAAACATGTACCCTTCAGTTTGTGTCAGGAATTCTGATGGGTATTAAGAACACAACAATGAGCAAAGCACCACGGAAAGTGAATGAACTCACTTGCTGTGACTTCATCAGGAAATAGTGCACAACACTCTCCTTGACAACCAGAAATATGCCTTGCACACATAGCTTGATATTTTTACAATTTTAATTTGGAAAACAACTGCTTCCCAAAAAGATCATTGCCTTTTTTGGAAAAGCAATGATAAAATATCATTTAAATATAAATTTTATGATTCCTGAGTTGATAAATATGAGGCTATTGAGTCCTTGAAATGTGGCTAATGCATGTGAGGAACTGAGTTTTAAATCTTTAATTTTAAGTGATTAAGTAGCCATATTTGCCTAATGGCTACTATATTAGACTATACAACACATCTAACCAGTGAGCTCATTTGAAATAACGTATTTCACTTTGTACAAAATTTCTAAATCTCTTCTTGACTCATATTTCACTATGTAAGAAAGTAATTTAGAGATACCATATACATAAACCTTTGTATAGAAATTTTTACACTGCATTGTGTATAATTTACATATGTTTTTCTTCCCTGCAAAATATGTCTTTCTCAAGTAATTATTGTATCTTATTACATTCATACTTCTTATGTCTAGCATAGTAACCCCTGAGATACACACTATAAATATGAAATGAACCAATGAATTAATCAAGTGTAGATCTTGACAATAGGTATCAGGCAATTTTAATGCTCTAATAACTAATCATGTAATGGATTTTTTATTAATGATACCATGGTTTAATGGATCAAATAGTTCATAAAATAGCCAAAATGAAAAATTCTCCTATAGGGATGGTACTTGAATTAAATGTGATTTTTCTTATCATGAAAAAATGTGGAGTAAGTTGAAAAACAACATTTCTGGATTTAGATATAACTAAGCTAAATACTTAGAAAATTTCTTAATATTTTTGGTAGCAAAAAAAGTTTAACATTTTTCAAATCTAATTAATGTGATATTTTCCATGAGTGAAAAATATTTATTAATGGGAATATTTATAATAAGAGCAGTGGTTATTTTCCCACTTGAAATAGATCTTTTCAAAGGGACATATTTTTTAACCTGTGTCTATCATCTAGGATTTATGACGTGTTTATACCTGAAACCTAAAACCACTGGTAACAAGGTGAATTTATGATCAAGGGAGATAA